ACTCCTTAGGTCTGGGTCAGAGCCTGATAATGATATTCAAACAAGTTCTTGTGTGATGCTATGGCTTCTGGTGCTGGTACCCCACTTTGAGAGCCACTGCAGCCCATCATGCCTAATCAATTTAACCAAGTTCCCAAGTAGGTTGTTGTTCTTTAAACTCCCAACCTGTCTTCCCTCCCACCCATCCAAAAGCCTACAAACAAGTAGATAAAACGTGATGGGACCTGCACAGTGATTCAGGCTTTCTGGCAGCCCTGGACCAGCAGTCTCACTTTGCTTGTCCATATCCATCCACTTTGGTTGTTCTGTCCCAAGATAAAGGCTCATGGACCCATGGTAAATAGAGACCCTAAACTAAAGAAGGAGCATGCTCACTCAGAAGGAGGTGCTTTCAGCGAGAGCCCACATTGTGTTGAAGAAAAGCTGGGCGATCAGTACTGTAACAAAGGTCAGAGTAAGATAGCATGTCAGAAGACTGAGTGCACTGTCCCAAATCACGTGGGCCTAGGTTTGAATCTTGGCCCAGTTCCAGGAAACTTGGAGAGCCTTGGGAAAGTCACTCTCTTACGAGTCTATTTTCTTGTATGTAAAATGAAGTTAATAAGTACCATCTCTCATTACTATTGGACTTGGGGTAAAAGATTACTCTGGTGCTATAGAACTATAGTGCCATACTCTGGAACTAAGATCAACAGAAGAGGTATATTATTTACTGATGGCCAAGGCTAATTATAAAGCAAAGACAAAACAAAATGAAAAGCTCACTGCCATCGAGTTGAATCAGATCCATAGCAACACTATAAGGCAGATTAGAACTGCCCCCTGTGGATTTTTAAGGCTGTAAATCTTTCCGAGAGAAAAAAAGTCTCATGTTTCTCCCATGGAGCTGCAGGTAGGTTTGAACTGCTGACCCTGCAGTTCAACACATAACCCACAGGGCTTCTGGCTTGGCCTGTGTCGTTTTGTTTAATCCCAAGGACAAGTCCCCTTTCACATACGAGGAACTCCAGGTACAAAGTGGCTGGTTGATTTGCTCAGGATCGCCTAACTTGATGTTGGGTTGGAGCCCATTTAGTTTCTCTAGAACCACGGTTCTTAACCATCGAGGCAAGCTGTTCAAAGCCCTATATCAGTGTAGCTAATCTGCCAGTCCTTTCCCTTAGGGGAAGGCAGGGGAGAGAACAAGAGGATACAGGAATCGTATGGAAAATGTCAACCCTTTTCCTTAACCAACCTCTTACATCTCTGGATACCTCCCTCCAAAGAAACATTTTAAGACAGATACTAAAGGTGATAGAGTTGAAATGTTGATTAAGGAAAATAAAAGGACCACCGAAGAGTTGAAAAAAATTGTCTCCAATTTTATGAAAAAAGTAGCAAGTATGAAACAAGAGCATCAAAATTCCAGAAGAGGAAGAGAGATGGCAGGAAATAAGCCATACGTTTTAGCCAAACACCACAACTCACATAAGGATTCTGTGATAAATTTCCCTCTCTTGCCCACTTGCAAACACATAAGAGTTCATCAGAAATAGGAATATGACTTCTTGAAATACTAGTAGCTGATGCTAGAATTTCTGGTTTCCTCCCAAAGCCTCTATTTCCAAGGGAACCCAAGAGCTTGTCCATTACCTGTTTCTCCCACAGGACAGGGATTTGGAGGGTCGGGGTAACCCTGATCTTCACTAAAGTCCTTAGGAATATTGTCGCCGGTCAACTCCGCCACAATGTTGGGAATGTTGCCAAAAGGACCCAAGTGTTGCAAACCCTCATGAGCTCCACCTGCCAAAAAGTTAGAAGGAGTTAGTTTCAGTTATCATCATTTCTGCTATCATTTATTCAGGCACACCATACAAAGCACCCTGCTCAGAGAAGGCAAACAGATGGAATGGGCTCTTCCCTTCATGCACTAGAAAATTTAGTTGTATTACAGACACATTCGGTATGTACCTCCTTGCCACACCAGGCAAACAGAATGCATGCTACATTAGACCCGCTAACACAGTGTCACAGGAGCCGAGGACCGGGAGAGTTTCAGTTGGCTGGTGTGATGGAGAAGGCTTCTTGGATGAGTTGGGACTTGAATTGCACAGTCCCAGGTGGTTAGTTGTAGAAACTGGATATGGACGTGTGCGTGGGAATGAGAAAGGGAGATGACTGCCAGCCAGACACAAGAGCAGGTTGAAATACAACTTAACCTCCCCGCCCCCACTATCATGATCC